TTTGTCTGACCGCCCACCACCCATTCACTCTGTTTAGTGTATTCTCAGTGTTTATCATTCCCTCTCGTTACGATGGCACCTAAGGGTAGTTGATAAAATGAGTCATAAGTCTCTTACTCTGAATGCCAAGTTAGAAATGATTAAACTTGGTGAACAAGATGTTTATGGGGCACTTTGAATGTCGTATTATTATAGTGCTAGCAAAATAACTACGAGTTTGGTCAACTGGAACAATGCTAACTTAACCCTTTGAGGGTTTTCGTCGTACTAGTACGTCTTACGCGTAGGGGTTTTTGACGTACTAGTACTCAAATTCTAGCGGCCTCAAATCTAGTGGGAGAAAGCTGGTAGGCCTTCATATGAAAGAATGGGTCTATGTGGTCAGTGTGCACAGTCTAAAAAAAATCCTGCAGCACACAGTGCATAATGAGAAAAAAAAAACTTTGACCATTTTTTTTTAATAAATCAGCGACTTTGCAGTGTATTTTCGTATGGTATTTATTGTTGTATTCTAGTTTTCTTGGTCTCATTTTATAGAATGGAAGACATATTACAGAAATTGAGATGATTTTGACTGGTTTTACAAAGAAAGGTGCCTTGAAATTGAGCTCAAAGTAGCAGAAATGTTCGATTTTTACCAAACTTCAAAAGTAAACAAATCGTGCCAAGCGTGCAATACACGTCAACTGGTGAGTCTAACTGGTGAGTCTAATATTCTTTCACAAGTGCACCAATAATATTTATACCATTTTTTACACTAATACAGTAGTCTGCATAACAGTAAATCTTATATTTTTTGTGAGAATAAAAATTCAAAGTGGAAAGCAAAAGAATATAAGAGGGGCCTTGAGACGTGACTAATGACTAGAGGAAATGTCATTTTAGTGCCAGGAATGTCTTTCTTGTTTATTCTGGACCCTATTCGGAAATTGGCATCTTTTGAAATTTGTGTGAAATTGGCAAAATTGCTAAATTCTGACCACTGTACTGGATAGTTGAATTTCATAAATGAGTGGTTTCTTGCACCCATTCGATAGAAAAAATGGAGTTCTAGCGAAATATTTGTTTTTTGTCGACTAGTACAGTGAAATTGGCCGAAAATGGGGCTCAAAGTGGGCAAAATCGCCGATGCGTAAACATCGCCGAGACCGCTAACTTTGCGAGAGCATAATTCCGTAAGTTTTCTATCAAATTTCAAACTTTTGGTATCTTTATGATCGGGAAAAGATTCTCTATCTTTTCATAAGAGAAAATAATTTTTTTTTTTTTTAAATTTGGCCGACCCTGAGAACGAGTTTCGGAGAGGGCCTGTCGACCCTCAAAGGGTTAATATTTGATAGTGTAAATTTGTTATCGGGCATTTATATCTATTTAAAAGCAAAAAATAAAGGGTGATCCGCTTTACGGCAGTAGCCTGGAACCAAACCCACTGTATAAGCGGGGCTCTCCTGTATGTATACATACTTCAGGTATAATTGTCGATAACTGAGGAGGAAATTGTTTGACACACACGGCAAGCACTACATGTGGTCTAATATTGTGGAAGTGTTTTTATTTGATTATCCTTCACAAATTGGTTATAATTATGAAATTCAAATATTCAAAACTTGTTTGAATGAAATGACAGAGTGGTCCCTGGAATTAGAATGGGCTGGAGTTACAACTGTCCACCAAAGTGTGCTGGTGATGAGTGGAAATTATGACAATAAATCATCTCCCTGAAGCATCAATTGTCAACAGATGCTCAGAATGCAATTCACCACTTTGCATCTATCTCAGACTGTCCATAGATGTTGTTGCAGAGTTGCTATTTAATGAAGAATACAAACATTATTGAACATCTATTCAATAAGACATACATATATGTATGTTATTTGAAGTTCTATGTGAGTTTTCTCTTGATATTTTGTCTGACAGAAACATGGTGGTTGTGTGATACAGCAGTAACTGCAGCTGCTCTCCCCAGGTTCTTTTCAGTTTACCATATTCCGAAGTCAGCTGTTGCTTGAGGTGGAGGAGTTGGTCATTTATTCTGAATCTGTCAAGAGAAGGACTCTCCATTTCCATGGATTGAATCTGATTACCTCCCCTTCCCTATGTACTGTATGACCTTTGAGTTCAGCACTTCCCACCAAATACAATAATTCTGTCAAGTGTTAATTATACACCAGTTGGTCAGCCTGTTATGAGGTAATGGAAGTAGCGTCTTTTGTTCCTTTCTAAACTGAGTGAACATGCTATTTTTGAACAATCATTTTCTTTTCTGGAGTGGAGTAGTTTTACTGTGTTCATTCTGCAAACAGACCACTTCATTAAATTGCAATACATTTGTAAATACTAGGTAACACAAGTACATGTTCATATGAGCTTTGAGCATTGATAAGCTTCTCTCAATATGCAGGATATTTGTGTGCAGTATGCCACTTTTACCAATTTCTATTCCTGTGCAGATGGATGCATAATACTATCAGAATTTTTGTACAACTTTTTTCATAGGGCTATGTATGGTGTTGGTGCTACTATAGACAATGTACATCAGATAGGGTGGTCTCCTGCCATGCTTCTCAACAATGTCTATTATGTATATACAGTGGACCCTTGAATTCAGTGATTTAATCCGTTCCAGAGAGTCCGTCGAAATTCAAAATTCACGATTTTCAAAACCATTTTCCCCATAAATAATGTAAACCAAATTAATCCATTCTAGACATCCAAAAGTATTAAAAAAAATTTTTTTTTTTTACATGTACATTTATCTACACAGAAAACAATGAGACATGAATAAAACAATAATTTGACACCTTTATTGAAAAGTTGATGTGTGGAGGAGGGGAAAGGATGGAAGAGTTACTATTGTTTGGAAGGGGAATCCCCTTCCATAAAGACTTCAGGTACCAAGTCCTTTTCTGGGGTTACTTCCCTTCTTTGTTTTTTAATGCAACTAGGACCAGCTTGTGTGTCACTGGACCCTTGTCATTCAAAAAACTGTTCCAGAAAGGTGTGTTTCTGGTGTTTCTTTAAAATTTCCCTAAAATGAGACAAGACATTGTCATTGAACATGTCGCATACACGGCCTGCAACAGCTTTGTCAGGGTGATGTTCCTCCACAAATTTTTCCATCTTAGTCCACATTGCACACATTTTAATCTCTGAAGAAAGCAACTTCCCTCTCTTCCTCCTCCTCTGAAGCAATTTCCTGAGCTGTGATCTGCTGCTGATTAAGGCCTAGCAGCTCTTCAGTGGTTAGCTCTTCATTGTGGTCCTCCACCAACTCTTCCACATCCTCGCCACTAACCTCCAACCCCACGGACTTCCTCAATGCCACAATATATTCCACAACTGGCATAGGGTCCTCAGGGTTAGCCTCAAACTCTTCAAAATCTGTTGAGGACACATTCTGGCCACAATTTTCTCCAAGCAGAGTTCATCGTCCTAAAAGTCACTCCCTGCCAAGCCTTACCTATAAGGTTTATGCATTGGAGGATATTGGTGATCTTTCCAGAACTCTCAGGGTCAATTCAGAGTCCGAGGTTATATTAAAGCACCTTGGAAACATTGCTTTGGTGTAGTTTTTTTAAGTTTGAAATCATCTGCTGGTCCATGGGCTGGAGAGGAGTGGTATTAGGGGGGCATGAACTTCACTGTGATGAAATTAAACTCCTTCACCATTGGCTCTTCCAAGTCTGGAGGAAGAGCAGGAGCACTGTCCATTACCAGGAGGCACTTGAGTTACAATTTATTTTCCAGGAGGTATTTCTTCACACTGGGGTCAAACACTGCATTGAACCAATCAAGGAAAATGTCCCTCATGACCCATGCCTTACTGTTAGCCTTCCACATCATACACAAATTAGCCTTCACGACACTGTTTTTCTTGAATACACTGGGATTTTCAGTGATACACCAGTAAAGGCTTCACTTTGAAATCCCCACTAGCATTACCACACAACATGAGTTAGCCTGTCTTTCATAGGCTTGTGTCCTGGCAGTGCCTTGTCCTCCTGCATGATGTAGGTCCTCTTCGGCATTTTCTTCCAAAAGAGGCCTGTTTTGTCACAACTGAACACTTGTTGGGAGACGAATCCTTGAGCCTCTACATAGTCCTTGAATTCACTTGTGAATTTTTCAGCTGCATGTTTGTCTGAACTGGCAGCCTCGCTATGCCTTAAAACATTGTGTATTCCACTTCGCTTCTTGAAATTTTCAAACCAGCTTTTGGTCGCCTTGAATTCACCTACATCAGCACTCATTCCAGGTCTTTCCTTTACGAGATTGCCATGCAACTGCCTTGCCTTTTCGCAAATTATTGACTGCGTAACACTATCTCCTGCTAACACTCTGTTTGATCCACACCAGCCACGACTTCTCAACATCTTCGATTATTTACAATCTCTTTATCATTAGCATATTCACCCCTTTCACAACATCAGCTTCATTGATTTCCTTTTTCTTCGCCACGATGGAAGTGATGGCTGAATGGGCCTTCCTGTACATCCTGGAGAGCTCTGCCACACACACTCCTCTTTCATATTTTTCTATGATCTCTTTCTTTACTTCAATTGTGTTTCTCACTTTCTTTACCAAAGGGCTGGCACTAGGAGCTTTCTTTGGGCCCATGGTGACTTATTTAGCAGTTGCAAGCACTAAAACAAACAAAAAAAAAAAATATTAAGAAATGTATCTTATGAACACATGAGGTGGCCATCACTCGCTGAGATACAATGCCAGACTGACACTGAATGGTGTTTGTGTGCCCGCGGTGGCTGGGAGGCCACTCGGATGTGTTTCATATGACCACTAATTTCTAAGCCAAATCACAAAAATCAAGCCAATGTTTTGACGAAAAAAGTCGTTGATTTCCAAAATTTATGATATTCGAGGGTCCACTGTATTTTACCAAGAGCAGCACTGTATGACCCCTGCAGATTTAGTACTTGGTTATGATTATAATAATATACCAAGACTATTATGCTTATGTAATAAAGGTTAAATATAATATCTTACAGAATAATATGATTTACTAGAATCAATAGTCTTATAGAATAGAGTACTATAATAGTAATACTGTTATAACTGCTACAACCTGTAACTCGGAACCAGAAAGTTAATCTGTTTTAACTCCAAAGAGTGGATTCTTCACCTCAGTTACAGCAGGTTTGTAGATTGGACTTACATTCTGGAATTAGGAAAATACACTAGTTACTATAAAGCAATTACTAACTGGAATACACTAGTTACTATAGAACCAATGAAAAGTATGCCACCAAATTGTAAATACAGTACTTGATTACCAAAATGTGAACAAAACTATTATAACTACTCGACAAAATTGGACCTCATTACCCTAGCAAAATAGGTAAATGTATAATCAATTAAAAAAACAAACTATGCACTCTATATTAAATTCATTCCAATGACTGCAACCTATATACAATGGTACCTCGGGATACAAACAGCCCAAAATTCGAACAATTATGTAAGTGCTTTTGTAAGCATATTTTTGGGGGTCTGAAACAGATTAGTCTAATTTACATTATTCCTTATGGGAACAAATTCGTTCTGTATCGGCACTCGAACAGCCTTCTGGAATGAAATAAATTTGTATCCCAAGGTACCACTGTATATCCATATCAAATTTATATCCATATATACAAGACACTAGAGACTTCCTGGTACAGTAAAGAACCATAACTGTAATATTAGTAAGAACCCTAATAAAACTTGGAAGATGCATCCTTTATATAGTATATAGACCAAATGGTACAGTAAAAGCCTGATGCCTAACTCCTATTAACATGTGATTATGAATATAACTACATTATTATATCCCCATCTCCAGGACTTGAGTCCTGGAGATGGAAAGTACAGTGTCTGCACTCTGAAGGAGAGGTGTTAATGTTGCAATTTTATAACTAGTGTAGGCATACCTCTGGCAAGACAGTGATGGAGTGAATGATGATGAAAGTTCTTTTTCTGGCTATCCTGCCTTGGTGGGAAACAGCTGATGTGTTAAAAAATACTGGCCCTAATGATCTTTGCAACCTTAAAAATGTAAAATCAGATCATTTTACCATCATATGAGGCCCTCCTTTCCCAGTAATGCCTAACAGAGGAAGCTCATATTTTCACTAAGACTATTCAATATGGAATATAACTAAAAATTATGAAAAAAAAAAAGTTATCAAAAGCAACAAAAAAAAATTGATAGAGCTAAAAATTAGGAAAAATAACTGAACATTACAAAAAAAAAAAAAAAAAACACTCCCTTTGAACTATTTTTGATGCTACTTAAGGTATCCACTTAAAAACAGAGACCATGTGAGCATGATACAAGGCTGTTTTCTTTTGTCTAATTCTTCCCTGTCTGAGGTGCATTTGATGACACATTTATCTTGCAAAACAGCGCTGTATAGCCCTTGTGGCTTAGCGCTTCTTTTTTATTATAATAATAATTATCTTGCAAAAACTCTCAAACTTTCATGAAAGCTGAATTATTATAATCATAATAATATAACCTGTTATGATGATAATTCAAAATAGTGATGTTTGGCTAACCAAAAATATATTAAAATCTTCCCTAAACTGATAAAATGAGAACTTACCTCACTCCATTTGGCACTTTGTTGATCCAATATAAATTTTGCATACTCCCTCTTATCATGGATAGAAACTATGATCCTCCAGGCAATGATTGTAGCTAGTCCAATAACCACCACAGCTATCAAGACTCCTAACACACTAACTGCAATGTAAAAATATTCACATCATTAGGTTTTTAATGTTGCGATTTAAAGACAAGGCTAATGAATATCACGTAATGCATGCATACATAGATACATGCTTTGAACATCATAAAATACAAAATTAAAATTGTCACAGTTGCTTTTTGCTGATGTCACTGCTTTTGGGAGATGCTGTAAAGTTGCAAAGGTTTGTGGATGGATTTGGGAGGGTATGTAAAAGGAAATTAAAAGTGAACATAGGAAAGAGCAAAGTGATGAGGGTAAGAAACAGGTTAGGTAATGGTGAAGGGGGAAAAAGATGGGTGTGAGGCATCTGTGGAGGAAAAAAAAAAAAAGGAATGTACGAGAGCATAGCAGTACACTTTTATATAGGTATGAAGCATGGGTTGTGAATGTTGCGGCAAGGTGGAGGCTGGAAACAGTGGAGATGTTCTGTCCAAGGGCAATGTATGGTGTAAATATGCAGAGAATTTGTAGCTAGATTAGGAGGAGGTGCAAACTTGCTGAAGTATTGTCCAGATAAAAGGTTGATGGATAGACTTCTGGATGTGCATATTTTTAGAGGGGTCACAGATAGATCATTACTGAGTAGCAGCTACAGCGAGAAAAAAAGGCAGATGAGGTACAAGGAGAATGTCATCGGTGGGTAACAGAACTGAAATTTTATAAATTAAAGGAGATAGGGTAAGATATAAAGAATTACTGTTAGTGTGCAGCAAAAGTTTGTGGATATAGGAGGGGGGAGTGCAGGAAGGAAGAGGAAGAATTGGTAGAACAAGTAATGAGGGTGGTCAGGGAGAAAAAGTTTGTATATGAAAGGTTTTTACAATGTAGATTTGAATAACAAAAAAACGGCACAATACCATGACTGGAACGATACACAAATAACCCGCACATAAAAGAGAGAAGCTTACGACGGCGTTTCGGTCCAGCTTGGACCATTTACAAAGTCACACTTTGTAAATGGTCCAAGTCGGACCGAAACGTCGCCGTAAGCTTATTCTCTCTTTTATGTGCGGGTTATTTGTGTATGTAGATATGATATACAGAAGGAGAAGCACATGGAGAGTGATAGAGGTTTAAAGAGTGGTGGTGGAGTGCAAAAGAAGAGGTAATGAGAGTGGGAGAGGTTTTAACAAATTTTGCTGAGATTAAGAAAAAGTTTTGATGTGAGATCAGTAAGTTGAGAAAGTTTAAAGAACAAGTGGATTTAATTGTTAAAAACAAAGATGGGAGGTGGAAGTACTGGGAAGATGTAATGAATATTTTGAGTTGCTGAACGTTGATGAAGAGACAGAGGCATCGATTTCTTGCATTAAGCAGGGAAGTATAACACCTATTAAGAGCAAGGAAGAGCTAAATTTGAGTGTGGGGGAGGTGTGTGAGGCAGTGGACAGAATAAAAGGGGGTAAAGCAGCTGAGACAGATGGGATGAAGACAAATGTTACAAGCAGAAGGAGATATAGTTTCAGAGTGGTTGGTGCATTTGTTTAATACATGCATGAGAGAGAGGAAGGTACCCAAGAATTGGCATAGAACATGCATAGTTCCATTGTATAAGGGAAAAAGGGGATAAGAGAGTGTAAAAATTAAAGGGATATAAGCATGTTGAGCATACAAGGAAAAGTATGGTGCTAGATCAGTCAGGCTATTATGGATATGTGGGCCAACAGGTCAGCAGCAACAGCCTAGTTGACCAGGGAACCACCAGATGAGCCTGGCCCAGGGTTGGGCTCCAATAGAAGAAAAACTCTTGAAACTCGTCAAATGTCGCTATTACTGAAAGAATTATGGGTGAGATAGAGAGGATTGTAGAGGAACAATAAGGTTTGAAGAAGGGTAGGGAAAGTGTAGACCGTTTACACTGAAGCATGTAACTAAACAATATTTAGATAATGGTAAGTAACTTTTCATTGTATTTATGTATTTGTGGGTGTATAGGGGAGCACTATAGCAGTTAGTGCAAATGTTTGGAATGGATAGTAGGTCACTTAAAGCAGTAAAAACCTTTTATATGGATAGTGAGGCACAGGCTTGGGTTTGCAGGAGAGGAGGAGATTATTTTCCAGATAAAGCTGTGAAATGTTACCATGAGTGTTGGATGTACTTATAGATGGGGGTGTAAAAAAAAGGTGAATGCTTGGTTGTTGGAGAGAGGTTTGGGATTGAAATATGGTGAATCTGGTACAGAGTGGGAGTTGTCACAGTTGCTGTTTGCTGATGACATGGTGGTTCTTGTAAAAGATTCTGAAGAGAAGCTATAAACAATGGTAAATGAATTTGGGAAGGTATGTAAAAGAAGGAAATTTAAAAGTATAACTTGTTTAGCCATCAAAACTTTGCAGCCCAGTCCCTGGACCCATTTTTAACTACCACCCGCAAGATGGATACTAAACTGTGTGGGGGTGTGTGTACTGTTAGTTTAAAAAAACAAAAAAAACTAACAACACACACACACACACACACACACATTCATTCATTTATACTGTACTTACAATATATATTATGATACGTGGGGCACTCTAAATTTTTCTGCACCCACACATACAGTTTTCCCTCAGTACTTGTCTTGTAGAGGAAATGGACTCTGCAATTGTTTTTGTCAAAGAAAGTACAAGTGGGTCCACTCATTTCTGGAACAAAAATTGCAGCATTATTTTGGAAACACTAGGAAAAGTAAGTTTTTTGTTTTAACATAATGGCCATTTGATAAAAGCTTTAAAACCTTTTTGAATAATGCAAGAGGACATATGACAGCTCCAGTGTTCACCTGCAATGGACTCGACCAAAGTAAAGTCAAAGAGCGTACAGTTGGTGTGACAGTCGGCAAGAGAGCTCTCTTCTCCACTGGAGAGTTGACACTCGACGCATGACTTAAATTCATCACACTTCCCAGGACATTCCTGTTGAGTGAATACCAGCTTTAAAAAGTATACTTGGTTATATAGTGTAATCATCATCAAACAATACTTTCTTGACATTTAAAACTGATCCTGTTTTTATAAAAGATTGTAATGCATATACAATATCCAGTATATTGAACCCTTGGTATGACATACTAATTGGGGGGAAAGGGGTGTTTATTGAACCAAAATCATTTATACCAAAATGAAATTGATTTTCTAAGATCATAACATTAATGTACAAATGCCTGATGCAGTGAATGTAATCCACTGCATCAAGAATTTATCAGCTGAATATTTTATCTGCTGTATTGGATAAAGATTTATTTCTTTGTAAAGGTTACAATGCGTAATTACAATTTTGGTTTCCACCCTCATTTTATTGAAACTTGATTATGGTGACCAGATCTATTCAGCGGCATCTCCTGCTACTCTCTCTAGCCTTAACCCCATTCATCACCAAGGATTACGTTTATGCCTTGGTGCTTTTCGCTCTTCCCCTGTTGAGAGCCTCTATGCAGAAGCGAACGTTCCATCCTTATCCGATCGCCGTGATGCCCATTGCCTTCGCTACTATGTACGCTCTCATAATCTCCGCAATCCTTCCATTTATAGAATGGTCACTGATATTAGCAGACATACTTTATTTGTTCGCTGCCCCTGTTTACTCCGTCCCTTCTCTCTTCGCCTACATTCGCTCTTGTCTTCTCTTCAATTACCACTTTTTTATGTTCATGAAGCATCTCACTTTTCGCTACCCCCCTGGGAAGTTCCAGCTGTTCGAGTCTATTCTTTCTCTCTCCCTTGCTCGAAAGCCCAACTGTCTACGGTCGCTTCCCGCTCTCTTTTTCTTGACCACTTCCACTCTTTCTCATGCCATTGCAGTGTACACAGATGGCTCTAAGTCTTCTGACGGCGTAGGATTCGCAGCAGTGTTTCCGGACAGTGTCGTACGAGGGCATTTACTATCTTCGGCTAGCATTTTTACTGCTGAAACTGTATGCCATTCTTGCAGCACTTATCCATATTGCATCTATGCCTGTGTCATCATTTATGGTTGTCTCAGACTCCCTTAGTGCTTTACAGGCTATACAGAAATTTGACACACCTCACCCCTTAGTCCTCTGTATCCAACTTTGGCTACGCCGCATCTTTACCAAGCATAAAGATATTGTTTTTTGTTGGGTCCCTGGTCATGTTGACGTACAGGGCAACGAACAGGCAGAGACTGCTGCGCGGTCAGCAGTATATGACCTACCAGTTTCATATAGAGGTATCCCATTTACAGACTATTTTGCTGTAATAGCTACCCACCTTCACACCCGTTGGCAACAACGCTGGTCTACTATGCTCGGTAACAAACTTCAATCTATTAAACTGAGTATAGGTTACTGGCCGTCTTCTTGTCACCAGTGTCGAGGTTGGGAGACTACACTCTCCCGTCTTCGCATTGGCCATACTCGTCTTGCTCATGGATATCTCATGGAGAGGCGCCCTGCTCCTCTCTGAGAATTGTCAGGTTCCATTATCAGTCAGCCATATTCTGTTAGACTGCCCACTTTATCAACGAGCACGCAGAATTTACCTCCATCATCGTCTTCGCTCCGCTGCTCTCTCTTTACCTTCCCTTCTCGCTGATGGACCCACCTTTCATCCGGACTCTCTCATTGACTTTTTGGCAACAACTGACTTACCTCACAAACTCTGATACCTTCAGCCCTTTCTACCTCAATCTCTTGCTACCCTCTACCTCCGCACTATCCCCTGCCCCGCTGTTTTCTGTAACCTACTGATCATCCCTCCCCCCTCCTGCCGCCCAATACCCTCGCTTCCTTCCCTACCCTGCAGCGCTGTATAGCCCTTGTGGCTTAGCGCTTCTTTTTGATTATAATAATAATAATACAATTTTGGTTTGCTGATCCTAATACATAGAAACAACTACAAACTAGACAGATAATAATATAGTAACTACTTAAAACTAGACAAGATAGTAGTGGTTAACTGTATTAAAATTGTTTTTAATCTTAATACTAATGCGAGGTAATCAGGGTGGAGATTTTTAAGAATAATAATCCTGAAGTTACACATAAAAAACAATATTACAAATAATGGTTCAGGAAGTAATATTTCATGGACTGGCAGAAGTTTAAAAGTCTAGAGGTCACATAATATAACTAATTATCATTTGTTTTGGTTGAATTGGTTAGTATTGAGAGATAGGATGATTTTTTAGCAAAGTCCTAAATCTATGAGTATATGAGTAGTCAGGGGATCCTTTTCTGGTTCTGGTACCGTGTTCCAGATCTTCAGGCCCTTTATGTGCATGGTGTTTTTGCATAATGTGAGACTGCCACAAGGGATGTTGAAAAATGCCTTAGGCCTTGTATTGTGACTGCATTTTATTGTAACTGTCAAGTAGTAGTTTAAGTGGAGGATTTATAGTGGAATTTAATGTTCTGCATATGTATATGTTATAGAAATTTATTATATGGGGCCCATGACATAGAGGACTTACTGTACTTCAGTATTATGCAACAAGTGAATGTTACATTTACAAATTGTTCAAATGAATAACTATTTGAGACTAAGAAAAAATACATTCACACAACATTTACTAATTCCATAATCAGTATAGATCAGAATGGTAACTGCTCACAGGGTACCTTGCAAGGGGTGTGCCTTGAAGCCAGGAATGGCTCTTGATTCAAGGAACTGGAGCTATTCTCACCTTCCTTGGATCAAGCCTGATTACCTCCTATACTCAAGGCACTATGATTCCCAATTAGTACTGCACTTCCTTGTAATATAATAATAATGCTCACAAGGCAGTCTTCGCAGAACTTGCCGAAGTACGGAGCGATGCACCGGCACTGATTACATTCACATGTACCATGACCTGAGCACATTTCTTGTACCTCTGAAAAAAATACATGCATAAAATTGTTAACATTTAAACTAAAATAGCCATCTTATATGAGAAAATGGTGAGTAAATTGCAACATGCAAATGTGAGACACACAACTAGGGTAAATGGAGAATTAAGAAAACACAAAAATCAAAGAAAATAATTTGGTGTTGCTTGAGGAGCATCACTAACTTCTCCATCTTATAAGTCATGTAAATCGTAAAGAATAAGAGTACACAACAAGTGAATACAGGAAAGAGTAAGGTTATGAGGATAAAAAGATTAGGTGATGAAAGATTGGATATCAGATTGAAGGGGGAGAGTATGGAGGAGGCGAATGTATTCAGATATTTGGGAGTGGATGGGTCTATGAAAGATGAGGTGAATCATAGAATTGATGAGGGGAAAAGGGTGAGCGGTGCACTTAGGAGTCTGTGGAGACAAAGAACTTTGTCCTTGGAGGCAAAGAGGGGAATGTATGAGAGTATAGTTTTACCAATGCTCTTATATGGGTGTGAAGCATGGGTGATGAATGTTGCAGCGAGGAGAAGGCTGGAGGCAGTGGAGATGTCATGTCTGAGGGCAATGTGTGGTGTGAATATAATGCAGAGAATTCGTAGTTTGGAAGTTAGGAGGAGGTGCGGGATTACCAAAACTGTTGTCCAGAGGGCTGAGGAAGGGTTGTTGAGGTGGTTCGGACATGTAGAGAGAATGGAGCGAAACAAAGTGACTTCAAGAGTGTATCAGTCTGTAGTGGAAGGAAGGCGGGGTAGGGGTCGGCCTAGGAAAGGTTGGAGGGAGGGGGTAAATTATTATTATAATCAAAAAGAAGCGCTAAGCCACAAGGGCTATACAGCAAGGGAGGGGGTAAGAAGGTTTTGTGTGTGAGGAGCTTGGACTTCCAGCAGGCATGCGTGAGCGTGTTTGATAGGAGTGAATGGAGACAAATGGTTTTTAATACTTGACGTGCTGTTGGAGTGTGAGCAAAGTAACATTTATGAAGGGGTTCAGGGAAACCGGCAGGCCGGACTCGAGTCCTGGAGATGGGAAGTACAGTGCCTGCACTCTGAAGGAGGGGTGTTAATGTTGCAGTTTAAAAACTATAGTGTAAAGCACCCTTCTGGCAAGACAGTGATGGAGTGAATGATGGTGAAAGTTTTTCTTTTTCGGGCCACCCTGCCTTGGTGGGAATTGGCCAGTGTGATAATAAAATAAAAATAACAGTGATGGAGACACTTACGTGGGTTTATGCAATTTTCTTGAGTACCATTCTCACACTCGCAAAACTGACCAATCCATCCATAATTACATATGCATTTATTGCAATCACAATTACCATTGTTGGAACAAAGGATCCCATTTGGACTAGTACAGCCTTGGTAATTTGTACACTCGCAAAAATCTCCCCAAATTTTCTGAAAATGAAAAATGTGGATAGAAAGTCTGTGAATACTGGTTCTCTTATTTTCTGCATACACTGTACTGTATGGGATTATTCTGGTACAACAGAAACAACAAGTTATCGTCAAAGACTGAATCTATATAGGATAAAATTAATGACTAGAAATTATTGGCATTTGAATATAAATAAAAGTTTCCTAGCAAAAATATTATTATTATTAAGTTTAGAGCTTCTTTTTGATTATAATAATTATTATTATAAAGCTACAGCTTTTTTACAATGTTATAACAATTTTTACATATGTTGCTGAACATTTTTTTTTATCTAAGGAAGAAACTAAGATATATCATGATCTGTAACTCTGCTCCTACTAAATATCTAGCTTAATCATGGGTAAATCCAAAGTTAAGTATATTATCAAACATGAACTATGTCAACAACACTTGCACCATATACCTAAGATGTGTATTGTAGTTGCAAACTATGCAGTATCCTGGCTATGTAATACAGTATACTGACTACTTAGTGCAATGCCCTGAATGCTCAATACAGTGCTCCAAACACTGAATACAGTGCTCCAAACACTGAATACAGTGCCCTGAACACTTAATACAGAGCCCTGACCACTCAAAACAGCACCTTAACTAAATACAAGACCTTGCCTACTCAAAAGAGTACCTTGACTATTGAATCCAGTACCATGACCACTCAAATTAGCAACTTCAAGGGAAACTGACTGATGCCGAAGGGCACTTGATCAGTGAAATTTGAGTTATTCTTCCCTTCCATGAATCAAACCTGATCACCGTACCTCCCTTCTATTTCCTAGGCATTGTATGACCCATATAGTCAGTGCTTGTTATGAATAATAATAATAATGATGATGAAAATCAGAGACCAAACATAAATGAGACCATGAGTAAAAAAAAATCTTGGCTCGTCTGGCACTGTCAAGAATTAACCCGTAAACGGTCCAAACGTATATATATGTTTTTTCAACATTTGAAAGTATGTAAAAAAAAAAGGAGATCTTCTTTTTGTTTTTTTTACATTTGAAAATGTGTAAAAAAACTTTGATCTACTTTTTTTTGTTATATTTGAAAATATGTAAAAAAAACTGTAGATCTACTTTTGTAGCACTACACATGTGAATGTAGATCTGCTTGGACCGTTTACAAGTTAAACACCAAAAATATGGCAGACTGGTACTTACCACACCACAAGTGCAATCCAAACCTTCCTTTAAGTAAGATGCACCAGTCTTCAAAAGTTTAAATCTAATTAAAAGATCATTCTTGAAGCAACACACAAAACAGAAAAAAATGGCAACCAATTATAGGCTTGTGTAGCATATTAGATAAGAGTGAGTGGAGGCATGTGGTTTTTACAATTTGACATGCTGTTGGAATATAAGCAAGGTAATGCCTATGAAGGGATTCAGGGAAACAGGTAATACAATGCCTGCACTCTGAAGGAGGGGTTGATTGAGCTGTGATGCTGACACACTTCTGGCAAAACTGACTGAATGAATGACAGTTAGTGTTTCTTTTTTGGGTCACCCTACGTTGGTTGAAGACTGATGTGTTAAAAATTAATAATACTCAATATTGTACAGTACTAGCCATACAAATCTAGCTAGTCATGCAGTTACATGCGAAAGCAGTAAAGAACTGACAATAACAGGCATTATTGGTTTTCTAAATATAAAAAATAGGAAAAGGAAAGATAATTTTGTGTTTACCTCTGGTTTCCTGAGAGTCTTGCAGACACACATGCCACAGATGCAGTCTCCCTGACCACTGCACACAAGTGAGGAGTTAGTAAGTTTGCACGACTCATCCGTGCTTTGTACTTCATTGCCACTGAGCTCACACTCACATTTATCACCAATGTAGCCAGGATGGCAGCTACACACTCCACACTTATAGTCTCCCACTTTACTACACTGATCAGCATTGACAATAAAACCCTGAAATATAATAAACTGTTTCAACTTATATACTAAAGTTAGCATAATAAGGTCAGTCAACTTTATTATACTGGGTTAGGTATACAAAGCCTGTCAACTTTGTATAATGAAGCCAGCATAATAATGACTTATGATTTAATTTCCTAAAAGTTATCAACAGTTCTTTCCTGCAAAGGGAAAGGGGGTACCTTAATGCTGACAAAGGGCTCCTGATTCAACTTATTGGAGTTACCCTCCCTTTCCTTTGATCAAACCTCATTTATTTATTTATTTATTTAGTAATTTGAGCATACATACAGAGGTACAAAAAAATACAGGTAAGAGCAGCATGCCAAAGCCACTTGTATGCATAGCATTACGGGCTGGCTTAAAATTAACTTAAGATTAACTAAGCAATGATGTAATCAGTGATAAAACATTATTGTAAACAGGTAATGTATGACCCCTACCCATTTAGCACTTCCGCATGATTATACATCGTACCTGATCTCCAGGTTGCTCACACTTGCAGTCACACATCATAGTGAGATCAATGGTGAGAGCTTGTTTGTGGCCCTCAGGAGAGATAAAGAGTGTTATCATCCACTCATCCTGGTCTTTGGGGCACTTGTTCACCTGAGAACAATATTAATTGGTCATCTATACTGCATGAGAGAGCATCTTTATTATTTATTTGCTTGATACAAGGGAAACTGTGTTAATGCCTAAGCCTTTAAACACTGCTGACAGGATCATTGCTGTTGTGACAGTTCTGTCATTCTCTAGGTCATAGTCCTGATATGACATGATTATGGTCTTGGCAGCACCATTTAGCAGGTAATGATTTTCATTCACATTAAAGTTTATTATTTTTAGCTGAAATGCTGACTGACTCTTAAAAAACAGTATAGCATTTCTGTTAATACATGTACTGAACCCATGGCAAGTGAATCTGAAAATTCAGAGGCCAGTGTGTGCCTGTGAGGTTTAGCACTTCCCCCTTGATTATAATAATTCAGGATACACTTTCCATGAGTTCAAGCCTCACCCATTCTGTGATTTCAAATTACTTGAAGCTTGCTATTATATTCATCAAGGCAAAAAATCACTTGACACAGGTAGTGGTTATATGATAATATATTCACTAATGCCATTATCACTAGTTTGAGCAAGACAATGAGAACTACTGGTATACACTGCTATTAACTGTGATGTCTACTAACACAGATGCCAATGTTAAAAACCACTTGACTATGATGGGCCATGGCAGAATAACCTAATACTGCATTACAGGTCTGACTGAACAAGTGTGACTTATAAGCAGTAAGGCATTACAAATAGTACAAGCATAAAATAAAAGCAGGACAATATATTAGCTATTAATAACAATTTTGATTCTTATTATAATCATGGGGGAGCGCTAAACCCATAGGATTATACAGCGCATGTGGGGGTGGGGGTGGAAGGCATTCAGGCTCAATTCAGGGAATTGGAGCACAGATCCAATTCCCTAGATCAAGAGCCCCTCACCAGCATCAAGGAACCTCCCTTGAGGGGTTGATTCTTATTGAAATGATGTATACATTCCTTCCCATGTTCTGATACGTGAAGGTGCAGACATGCTTCATAAAGGATACCTGGCATGTAGGTGGTGCACAGTGTCACTTTAATACAAAGAATAATGACAGATGACCTACCTGTATAACAACTTTGAATTCAACTTCATCTCCAGCATTCAAATTGTTGCACTGTGTGCGTTCTTCCAGTTTCTCATCCTTACACTTGGAATACAGCTGCACAGAGATGGCATCAGAAGCACCTTCAACATTTATTGTTACCCTATTGATGATATCCTGTAAGATTACACCACAGAAATTATGTATAAATCAGCAGAATATTTACATATCATGCTGAACTTAGAAATTAAAAAATTATTTGGGGAAGTTAACTTTAATTAAAACTAATATTCTGCTTACTGTATGATAAAAGATATAAAATAACAAAGGGAATACAATATATCCTTGATTTAAATGACTGGAAATATGGAACAAAAGCCGGTGGGTCAACTGATTCAGAGCAACAAAGTCGGATGGTGACAGTTTTGCCCATTATTGTTACAATGATGGCAAAAGCAATTTCATCTTTATCCACCACAATTGCTATTACTGGCCACTTGCTACCCCTTACCCCCCCCCCATCTCATATTAGCACATTAAATAAAGGGTTTATTGTCATATCAGAAGTTGCCAGAAGCCTTTCCGGAAAGAATTTTTATGAGTTCTGGATTGAAATTAAAAAACTGAAGGCTTGCTTAATTGTCACAAACACTGGGATTATATACAAACACAAATAATTTAATAAAATACCGAATACAAGTATTGCAACATAGTATATTTGTCCCCTCATGGAAGGTTTGCTGATGCCACCAAGGGGCTCTTGATTTAAAGAATGGGACCTGAAATTCCCTTTCTTGGATGTACCTGATTTCCTCTTATTTCCTCAAGTGCTGTATGACCCATATAAGCTTAGCATTTTCCCCCCATGAATATAATAATGCATACAGTAATTTCATTAACCCACAATACACAATGCTTTGTGCAGATCTTAGGAATTAGTAATTTAGCCCATTTTGAGTCCTAATTTAAGCCAATTCCTGTGTTTCATTCAACCAAATTCATGTAACAATAATCTATAGTAATACCTAATAATCACCACTTATATTAAACTTGAACTAGAAAATCCAATGCAGCCACAACACAGAACTGGCAACTTAGTTAAATATTATGAAAATCAATTAAAAAAAGAATTACTACACTAACTTTTACTTGACTAGTGAGGATAGAAATAATGTTAGAGGAGTCCTGTTCCAGGATGCTGAAACTGGTCCTTGGGATGAGCTCTTTGAGGTGAGAGTAAAGAGGTTCTTGCTCCTGTGTAACGGCGAAGATTAGCTGCATGCGCCGACTATCTGCCATTTCACTGATCTAGAAGAATGATCACAGTAGATGTACAATCTATTCTTGTGCCACATGGCTAAGGAATATGTAAAGAATAAAAGTGATATAGAGGAGATAAAAAGACTTGGAACAGTACAGTATAAAACAATAATAGAAGCCAATCGTGCAGGAATAGTGAAGCAAAAGGTGAAACTAGAAAAATAAGTCATTAGCTCATATAACAAAAAATGTCAACCAAAGCTGTGAAAATGAGTTAACAGAATTAGAATAGTCTTATGCCAAAATAACTAAAGACAATGGTCAAGGACAGACCTATACAGGAAGCGACCAATGAAGAGGAAGGGCCAGGAGCTGTAACTCGACCCCTGCAACCACAACTAGGTGAGTACAACATCATAGGGTTCATCTCTTGAACTGTTCCAACCATGTTATTGTGAATAAAACATTTGGGAGATAAAACCTATTGGCTAATACACAATTCTGTTTTCAGCTATTATGTCACAAAGAAAATGGATGGGCAGATAGTATTTATCTCAGAGTTTAAAAAGGCTTTTGACAGAATTCTCCATGAGAATACTGTTTTTAATTTTCCTTACTATAAGGAACAGGAAACTACACAGATCTGTTCATGGATAATGAAAAAATCTCATGAAAAAGATAAAAATGACTAAATCTTAACAACGCAAATTGGATAAAGTGAACAAATGGAAAGACAGATGGATGACAAAATTTACTGTTGATAAATATCATGCTCTGCATATAAAGGGGCTTTTGGCATGTACAACCAACTGCTATACTCCTTTATACAAACATGTATCATGCTAAAATAAAATATTATTATTATTATTATTATTATTTAATGGAGAGTGAAATCAGTCCAGAAAGAATACAAGTGTGTGAGACAAAAATTTGAGTATCATACAAAAAAAAAAATAATTAGAAATTTTCATAACAATAATAATTTTATTTTAGCAATTTTATTTTAGCATTATCAGATTATATACCTGAAATTGTGAAAAATGCATATTCTATCCTTTCAATACATGGATGGAGAGATGCTGAACAAGATGCTGACAACATATATTAGTCCAAAATTGGAACATGCAGCTATTGGCAGCTCTCGCATAGGGATGATATTAGAAAAGGATGCATATATTTTTTTTTTAACAAGTCGGCTGTCTCCCACCGAGGCAGGGTGACCCAAAAAGAAAGAAAATCCCCAAAAAGAAAATACTTTGTCATCATCCAACACTTTCACCTCACTCACACATAATCACTGTTTTTGCAGAGGTGCTCAGAATACAATAGTTTAGAAGCATATACATATAAAGATACACAACATATCCCTTTAAACTGCCAATATCCCAAACCCCTCCTTTAAAGTGCAGGCATTGTACTTCCCATTTCCAGGACTTAAGTCCGGCCATATAAAAACACCCAGTTTCCCTGAATCCTTTCACTAAACATTACCCTGCTCACACTCCAACAGCTCGTCAGGTTCCAAATACCATTCGTCTCCATTCATTCCTATCTAACTCGCTCACGCACGCTTGCTGGAAGTCCAAGCCCCTCGCCCACAAAACCTCCTTTACCCTCTTCCTCCAACCTTTTCGAGGATGACCCCTACCCCGCCTTCCTTCCGTTACAGATTTATACGCTGTCCATGTCATTCTACTTTGATCCATTCTCTCTAAATGACCAAACCACCTCAACAACCCTTCTTCAGCCCTCTGACTAATACTTTTACAGGCTCCACACCTTCTCCTAATTTCCACACTTTGAATTTTCTGCATAATATTAACACCACACATTACCCTTAGACAGGACATCTCCACTGCCTCCATCTCCTCACTGCAGCATTTACAACCCAAGCTTCACACCCATATAAGAGTGTTGGTACCACTATACTTTCATACATTCCCTTCTTTGCCTCCATAGATAACATTTTTTGTCTCCACATATACCTCAATGCACCACTCACCTTTTTTTCAATTTGATATCCAATTTTTCTTTATCTAAATCATTTGATACCCTCATCACCTTACTCTTTTCTATGCTCACTTTAAACTTTCTACCTTTACACACTCTCCTAAACTCATCCACTAACCTTTGCAATTTTTCTTTAGAATCTCCCATAAGCACAGTATCATCAGCAAAAAGTAACTGTGTCATTCTCATTATGTATTTGATTCCCCATAATTTAATCCCACCCCTCTCCTGAACACCCTAGCATTTACTTCTTTTACAACCCCATCTATAATCTTAAGCCTGCCCATAATGCTCTGCCTACAAGGGGCTTTTGGCATGTATACCCAATCACTATATTTCTTTGTACAACTATGTATCATGTCCAAATAAAAAATAAAATAAAATAAAATATATTAAACCATGGTGACATTTCACATCCCTGTCTAAGACCTACTTTTCCCGGGAAGTAGTCTCCCTCTCTTCTACACACCATAACCAGAGCCTCACTATCCTCATAAAAACTCTTTACAGCATTTAGTAACTTACCACCTATTCCATATACTTGCAACATCTGCCACATTGCTCCTCTATCCACTCTATCATATGCCTTTTCTAAATCCATAAATGCAATGAAAACTTCCCTACCTTTATCTAAATACTGTTCACTTATGTGCTTCAATGTAAACACTTGATCTACACATCCCCTACCCACTCTAAAACATCCTTGCTCATCTGCAACCCTACATTCTGTCTTACCTCTAATTCTTTCAGTAATAACCCTACTGTACACTTTTCCTGGTATACTCAGTAAACTAATTCCTCTATAAATTTTACAATTCTTTTGTCCCCCTTCCCTTTATATAAAGGAACTATACATGCTCTCTGTCAATCCCTAGGTACCTTCCCCTCTTTCATACATTTATTAAACAAAAATACCAACCATTCTAACACTATATAACCCCCCTTGCTTTTAACATTTCTGTCATGATCCCATCAGTTCCAGCTGCTTTACCCCCTTTCATTCTACGTAATGCCTCACGCACCTCCCTCACACTTACATCCTGCTCTTCCTCACTCCTAAAAGATGGTATACCTCCCTGGCCAATGCATGAAATTACCGCCTCCTTTTCTTTGTCCGACATTTAAAAGTTCCTCAAAATACTCCCGGGCCCTCTACCCAATACCTCATCTCCCCATCTACTAACTGACAAATCCATTCATTCCCTAGGGTTTCTTAACTTGTTTAAAATCACTCCAAAGTTTATTCTTATTTTCATTAAAATTTCTTGACAGTGCCTCTCCCACTCTATCATCTGCTCTCCTTTTGCACTCCTCTCACCACTCTCTTCACCTTTCTTTTACTCTCCATATACCTGCTCTTCTTATAACACTACTGCTTTGTAAAAACCTCTCATAAGCTACCTTTTTTCTCTTTTAAACAACCCTTTACTTCATCATTCCACCAATCAGTTCTCTTTCCTCCTGCACCCACCCTCCTATAACCACAAACTTCTGCCCCACATTCTAATACTGCATTTTTAAAACAATTCCAACCCTCTTCAACCCCCCCACTACTCATACTTGCACTAGCCCACCTTTCTGCCAATAGTTGCTTATATCTCACCTGAACTTCCTCCTCCCTTAGTTTATACATTTTCACCTCTCTCTTACTTGTTGCCATTTTCCTCTTGTCCCATCTACCTCTTACTCTAACTGTAGCTACAACTAAATAATGATCCGATATATCAGTTGCCCCTCTATAAACATGTACATCCTGGAACCAACCTATCAACCTTTTATCCACCAATACATAATCTAACAAACTACTTTCATTCCTGCTATATCATACCTTGTATATTTATTTATCCTCTTTTTCATAAAATATGTATTACTTATTACCAAACCTCCAGGTAAACTCCAGGTAAACCTCTTTCTACACATAGCTCAATTAAAGGCTCCCCATTTTCATTTACCCATATACCTGGAGTTTACCTGGAGAGAGTTCCGGGGGTCAACGTCCCCGCGGCCCGGTCTGTGACCAGGCCTCCTGGTGGATCAGAGCCTGATCAACCAGGCTGTTGCTGCTGGCTGCACGCAAACCAACAACGAGCCACAAACCCGGCTGGTCCCGGAACCCACAGCCCGGCTGGTCAGGAAGTGACTTTAGGTGCTTGTCCAGTGCCAGCTTGAAGACTGCCAGGGGTCTGTTGGTAATCCCCCTTATGTATGCTGGGAGGCAGTTGAACAGTCTCGGGCCCCTGACACTTATTGTATGGTCTCTTAACGTGCTAGTGACACCCCTGCTTTTCATTGGTGGGATGTTGCATCGTCTGCCAAGTCTTTTGCTTTTGTAGTGAGTGATTTTCGTGTCCAAGTTCGGTACTAGTCCCTCTAGGATTTTCCAGTTGTATATAATCATGTATCTCTCCCGCCTGCGTTCCAGGGAATACAGTTTTAGGAGCCTCAAGCGCTCCCAGTAATTGACGTGTTTTATCTCCGTTATGTGCGCCGTGAAGTTTCTCTGTACATTTTCTAGGTCAGCAATTTCACCTGCCTTGAAAGGTGCTGTTAGTGTGCAGCAATATTCCAGCCTAGATAGAACAAGTGACCTGAAGAGTGTCATCATGGGCTTGGCCTCCCTAGTTTTGAAGGTTCTCATTATTCATCCTGTCATTTTTCTAGCAGATGCGATTGATACAATGTTATGGTCCTTGAAGGTGAGATCCTCCGACATGATCACTCCCAGGTCTTTGACGTTGGTGTTTCGCTCTATTTTGTGGCCAGAATTTGTTTTGTACTCTGATGAAGATTTAATTTCCTTGTGTTTACTATATCTGAGTAATTGAAATTTCTCATCGTTGAACTTCATATTGTTTTCTGCAGCCCACTGAAAGATTCGGTTGATATAATTTAAGCAGGAAATGTATTAGTCATAAAAATAGTACTATGTTTAAATGTTTTTCTTAACATAAATTTTAAACAAATGCTTTTTGTACTAAGCTATCCAATTAATAAGAATATAGCCATACTTAATAGTTATTACTGAAACTTGCTTGCCTCTTGCCCATTAAAACCCAATCCACATCAGTTTTATTTGCTTTTCCGTAGAATTAATGTACTGATGTACAGTATCCAAATGTATGTGTATGTCATGCTTTTTAGGCAGGTGGTCAGACAAGCTAAATTTCCCCTAAAATAAATTTTCTAGAAAGTTTTCCGTCATGGGCCAGGCTGCAGGGGCATTGACCCCCGGAACACCCTCTAGGTATGAATTGATATATATTTTAGTAAATTAACACATACTGTGTACAGTTTATGTATAAAGTAGCAGGTTGGTAGACAACAACCATCCAGGGAAGTACTGGAGTCCTCTTAATGAATGCTGATCTTTACTTTTTTCACATCAATACATAAGATGACAGATAAATTTTACAAACTTCTACTTATATTTATTATACACATGTCTTTACTTTCCTGTGCTTCTTAACCCTTTGATTGTTGTGACCCTTCAAATTAAAAGTGCTGACAGTATCACGATTTAAAAAAAAAATTTATCTTCTGACACAGTAAGCAATCTTTTTTTTTTTGAAGGTGATGACACCAAACATGCAAGATCTGATGGAAAACGTGCAGAATTACACAAGCTTAAAATTTGTTATCTAGATGCAATTTACATGTTGGTGATTTCACTCATTTTCAGTCCTATTTTAAGCTAATTCCATTGCTCAGTGCTTATGAAGAATGACTTCCAAGTAGTCTTTCAGCATCTGGGTATGAGAGAAATTGATAACAGACTACAACATTTTTACCCACTTTAGTATTGAAATCCCCAACCACAAGTACTCTCACACTTGGTTCAAAACTCCCCACACATTCACTCAACATTTTCCAAAATCTCTCTCTCTCCTCTACACTTCTCTCTTCTCCAGGTGCATAACCCTTACTATAACCCATTTTTCACATCCAACCTTTATTTTACTCCACATAATCCTTGAATTAATACATTTATGCTCCCTCTTTTCCTGCCATAGCTTATCCTTCAACATTATTGCTACTCCTTCTTTAGCTCTAACTCTATTTGAAACCCATGACCTAATCCCATTTATTTCTCTCCACTTGAACTCTCCGACCCCCTTCAGCTTTGTTTCACTTAAAGCCAGACATCCAGCTTCTTCTCATTCATAACGTCCACAATCATCTCTTTCATATCATTCGCACAACATCCACACACATTCAGACATCCCAATTTGACAATTTTCTTCTTCTTATTCATTTTAGTAATCATTACAGGAAAAGTGGTTACTAGCCCACTGTTCCCGGCATTTTAGTTGACTTTTACAACATGCATGGCTTACGGAGGAAAAATTCTTATTCCACTTCCCCATGGATATAAAAGGAAAGTACTAAGAATAAAAAACTATTAAGATAAAACCAAAGAAAACTCATATGATTGTGTATAAATAAACGTGCACATGTATGTGTAGTGTGACCTAAGTGTAAGTAGAAGTAGCAAGACGTACCTGTAATCTTGCATATTTATGATACAGACGAAAGACACCAGCAATCCTACCATCACGTAAAACAATTACAGGCTTTCGTTTTACATTCACTTGGCAAGACGGTAGTACCTCCCTGGGTGGTTGCTGTCTACCAACCTGCTACTGCACATACTGTTACATGCATCTAATATTTTGCCTACCATGATAATCAGCTCCAACTGGTAACTGTGCTGGAGAAATGCTAGATACTGTAAAAGACAGTAAGGGAGAAGGTGACTAGCCAAAATTTTTGAGAATAAACAAGTGTAAGATATTTTTGTATGAATGGTATATTAGGATTATGCACTTGCATAGTTGTGCAGGGGGTTGAGTCTCTGGTCCTGGTCCTGCATCTCAACAACACACAAATGGACACTCATGATTCCTTGCCTCATGGGCCCTTTCATACCTATTTTTAAAACTGTGCAAAAGATCTGCTTTTAACATATCCTCCTCTACGGTGGATATGATGCACCTCTTTGTAGCTGTTTAAGAAATATTTGGCAGAACCTGTATATAACTGCTACATTAAATATAAAGAGGGAGCTAACCAGCCAACCTTGTCTCACTCAATGGGTCACCTGAGTCTAGTATTTACCTCAGCCACTGAAGGGTAGTCAAGAACATCATAATGAGTGTACCTTCCATCCGCATCCAGATGACACGTTTTATCATTCGGTTTTGTTATGCCTCCCAGCTAATGAAAAAAGTTGAGGATCTGATTAGTTATTTGTTAATAAGTGCATTTTAATACGTGAAACATTTAATTCTACAAGCTACAAAAATTAAAGAACAAAGCAGAGTAAAAAGAAAAGACAAAATCTTAGTAATGGTACCAGAAATTCAATACCAAACAGTAAAACACTTGTAAATCAATGCAATTTGCTGTTTAATAGAAGATACTGTAGAACCGCTGTATCTGCAGGTTCGATTTCTGCAGTTTCAATTAGCAGAGGTTTACCATGGCCTGAAAATAACCATTAATTTTGTTTAATAATAGCCCCAAAGTGCAAAAGTAGTGAAGGTGGTAGTTCTTTAAAGCCTAAGAGAAGCTGTGAAGTCTTTCCATCAGTGAAAAAGCACTAATTCTCGACTTATCATTTTCTCTGTTCGTCTGTTGGTGTGAGCAGACGTACGCCTGCTGCCCTCTCTCAGCGATTGGAAGACTTCCTGTTTTTTTCCAATATGGCGCAGAGTGTAAGGAGGAGGGTAAATACTGTGGGCATCCAGCTGGTTCGCGGGGCAATTTCACCGCAAGCTGCTCCTGTGCTGTTGCCATTAATCATCCGGGATACGTATGGTATTCAGGATGAAGAATTGTATGGTGTAGCACTTAATGGTGCATACAGGGTGTTTGTTAAGTTGTTGAACACCGGCGTCTATGAGAGGCTGGTAGAGAGATACCAGGATGTGCGAGTGGACGTCAATTCTATGGTGAGTGTCCACCTTCATGACATCTCCAGACATTATACATGGGTTAGAGTGCGAAATGTACCGTTTGAGGCTGATGAAACGGACATACGCAATGTTTTCAAGGACTACGGGATCGTTCACCTGTCACAGCCTGGCAAGTGGGTGGAAGGTGCATACGTGGGATACCCAGAGGGCACGTTTTCACTGAAAATGACGATAGGGCACGTTTTCACTGAAAATGACGATACAGCACCCCATACCATCATATGTTATATTGGAGGTCTTCAGGACTCAGCTCGTGGTGTCCTATGCTGGGCAACGCAGGACATGCAGGCGTTGTGGTGGTTATGATCACATTGCTGCATATTGTGAACAACAGACTCGACTCCATGGTGTAGAATGTACTGCCGCAGGGGAACCTGGGCAAGTTGGACGTGCTCTAGAGCTACAGGAAGGACGTGGGCCTGGTCGTCTGTGGAGTGAGGAGGTGGAGGAGGCGGAGGCAGTGGCGGGTGCGGACCTGACGGCCCCTGTGGCTGGGGGCCCTGTGGGACCCCTTTTGCCTGATGGTGGGGGACGGCATGGTTCGGCGGAGGAAGCCATTGACGAGGACCTAGAGACTGTGCTCACCTCGCTGTTTCCCCAGTCTGATGGGGAGGGCGAGCCAGTGACGAGAGCTGATATGAGGAATGCTGCAGACCTGTGTGGACAGCAAAATGAGCCCATCGGCTTGGTGGTGTCTCACGGGGCTATGTGCCCAGAGGGTGGGAAGGTTGGACATGTGATGGAGGTGGAGGTTCACCGTAAGGTATCACAGGAGGTGAGGATGCAAACAGGTGGAGTCATGCGCAAGCGTGAGGCTGTGACATCGGATTCAGATGATGTCCTGACTCCAGCACAGAGGACTGGCAAGGTGGTGGTGGTGGGGAAGGATGGCGGTGGTCCCTCGGGGACTTCGGACCCGGAGCTGGACCGGGGAGGGTTTAAGGCTGCCAGTAAGGACATGCATAAAGGAGGTCCGAAAGGACATGGTGGTGTTGTAAGGAAGGTGTCAAAGCAAAGGGGGAAGAAACCACCGCTTGCCTAAGGTGTATGACAGTTAACATTAATGGTTTGTGTCAGGATGTGAAGCATGCGTGGTTTGCAAGTTTCTTGTGCCAGCATAGAGTGGATGTTGTATTTGTGCAAGAGCACAATATCAAGGTGGGGCGTGTATTGGAGGTGAATGGTTATAGGGCTTTTGTGATGCAGACGGGACGTTTGAAGGGAGGGGTGGGTGTCCTACTCCGGGAGGCGAGCCCATTTGTGGTTAGTAGAAGTGAAGGGGGGGGCGAAAGGCGTATTATCAGAGTGGATGGATGGTGGATGGGTGAGCAAGTGGCGTTAGTGTGTGTGTACGCACCTGCAGAGAGTGATGCACGTCTGAAAGCGGATTTTGTGAAGGATGAGCTCGTTTATTCTTTCTGTTCTTTACCACCTGTTGCCATTGTGGGAGGGGACTGGAATTGTATTATTCGCAGGGCAGACGTTGAGCCGTGTGGGGCAGGGCATTTTTCAACTATCCTAGGTGATCTTCTGAGAGATGTGTGTCTACGTGACGTATTTGGGGGTGGGGCTTGGGAGGTGGAGCACACTTTTGTTAGACAAGGATATGCGGCGAAGCTAGATCAGGTGTACATCACAAAGCAGGTAAGAGTGGAGTCCTTGCGTACGATGGAGGTGGAATATTCAGATCACAGGGCGGTCGTGGTAGACCTGGGGTGGGATGGGCTGGCCAGGAGGTGGAAGAGTTATTGGAAACTAAACACGAGGATCCTGGGTGATGAGGAGGGGCAGGGAGGATTTGAGACGTTGTGGGCAGAGCTCAGTGAGGAAAGGCGGGGCATAGAGGATTTACTGGGGTGGTGGGACAGGGTGGCTAAGGCACGATTACGTAAGTTTTATGTGAGGGAGGGGAAACGCATGATGCAACAATCATATGGGCTCCTTCAGTATCTAGAGGGTAGGTTGAGGGATTGCTATGGGAGAGGTGGACACGGGGGAGTATATCCTGTAGAGGAGATAGAAACGTTGAAGGGGAGGATTCGTGAGCTGCAAAATGAACGGTTTAATGCGGTGCGTGTGCAGGGGGGGTTGAGGTGTTATGGGGCGATCGACCGTCGGTGTGTGTTTTACGAGGTCAGCAGCGACGTCGGATGGCCACAGAGGTTGGTAGGTTAATCGTCCACTCTGAAGTGGGGGATTATCGTGAGGGGCAAGTGTTGAGGACAACTGAGGGAATGAGTGGTTATGCGGATGCATGGTATGAGCAGTATTTGGGACGTAGTGCAGTGGGAGGTGCAGCATTGCATAGCGTCTGTGAGCTAGTGCCATGTTCATTGGGGCGTAGTGATCGAGTAGTGCTGGGTGGGGAGATAGACGAGGGTGAGGTTTGGTGGGCATTAGTGAGTATGAGTACGGGAAAGGCTCCGGGGATTGATGGATTACCCTGTGAATTTTACCTGCAGAATTGGAAGTTAATGTGTGGATTCCTGGTGGAGTTGATGAATATCATGAAGGAGAAGGGGGTGTTGGGGGAGTTGCAAGCCACAGCAGTGGTTGTTCTGGTCCCAAAGGGAGAGGTCCAGAATACCCTCAAGGATTATCGGGAGATATCTTTACTTTGTGCGGATTATAAATTGTTTGCGAAAATACTAGGAAATCGCCTGAAATGTGTCGTGGGGCATGTCGTATCTGGAGGGCAATATGGGTTGCCTGGCAGATCTATGGTTGAGGGCCACTGACATCTTAAGGGGTTTGTAGAGGGTTTTGGGGGAAAGGGGGGGCTTACTTGCTTTGGATTGGCAGGGAGCTTATGACCGTGTGGAACGGGAGGCATTGTGGCAGATCCTTCTAAAGCAGGGATTTGGGGAAGAAGTTGTGGAATGGGTGGAGACATTGTATCGAGGGGCGCGGGTGCGTGTGCAAATTAATGGTCGCATAGGGGAAGCAGTGTGTATGGGGCGGGGCCTCAGGCAAGGATGTCCACTATCTCAAATCCTGTTTGCCTGTGTTCAAGACCCTTTTTACAGACTCATTGAGGCACGTATCTGTGGGGGGATGGGGACAGGGGAGGTGGGGTGTGGGCCGGGGATCGTAGGATACGTCGACGACACGACGGTACTTGTGCGGGAGGGAAATAGTTTGAGAGAGGTGGGAGAGGTCATTCATACGTTTGGGGAGGCTACGGGGATGAGGGTTAATGTGGAGAAATCATGCTTCTTAAAGTTGGGAAATTGGAACTGGCAGGGGGATTGGGATAGCTTAAAGATATGTGGAATAGTGTTTATGGAGAATCAAGTGCGGTTGAGAGAGGTGAACTCAGAGAGTATTGTGGAATGGGTGCAGCATAGATTGGGGAGTTTGCGCCCATATCATTTGACATTGTTGCAGAGGGCCATCGTGGTAAACACGTTACTATACAGTAAGGTTTGGCATGTGGCGGCAGTTTACCCCTTAACGGGGCAAGGAATTACGAGAATTTTAAAGCAGGTGTTTAGGTTTATATGGGAATCTGGGTGTGATTGGCTGAGGAGGGAGGTGGTAATGCTGCCAGTACGTCAGGGGGGTTAGGATTATTGGATCTACAGCGTTGGGTAAAATGTGTTTTCTTATGAAGGGAATATGTACAAGTCGGGTGTGGGGGGGGTTAAAGTTTCTGTATGAGGGAGTGCAGAGGTGGTATGTGGGTGCAGAGTTGAGGGAATGTGAGGAGGTGCTGCGTACCCTCATGGTCCTACGGGAGCCTGGCAAGATTCGCATAGGGGTTTTGGCGAGAGTACTTGGGAGCCGGGTGGTGGTGCCAGTGGAGGGAATATACCCCATGTATGGATGGGAAGATATTTGGTGTCGTTTTCGTAAGTTGAAGCTCAGACCTCGGGTGCGGGAGGTTATGTTCCGTTTCTTGCATGGCATTTTACCATCAGGAGCAGTCCTGCGGGCGAGGCGAATAGTAGAGGAGAGTGGGTGTGGAGTGTGTGGTGGCGAGGATACGGCATATCATGCGGTGTATTTTTGCAAATGTTTGGGGAATGTTAGGGACTGGATGAGTAGGATAGTGAGGCTAGTGGGAGGGGGGGCATACCGGTGTTGAGAGCGCTCGTTTTGGATGTGGGAGGGGTGCCAGAGAGTACACAACGAACATTGGCATATTTAATGGTAGATTTTGTGTACGTGTCGTGGGGTATGCGTGGGAATGGGGATTGGGTGGCGAGGAAACGGGTAATGGCAGCTACTTTTTATAGG